AAAAAAAAAAAAAAAAAGAAAATTTGTACAGATATCAAGCACCTGCTAAGTGCCACATACATACCAAGTGTGAATATGTAGTGAGCAGAAATGGACTTGGTTGCTGCCCTTTTCTGCTTACATGGTCTGATATGGAGAGAAACATTTATCAAATAATCCTACCTAAATGTACCTTGTGGTGGTGAGAAGTGTCTATAAAACAGGATACATGAAAGATGTTGGAAGAGCCTGCAGTGGGGTGACTGCCCTGTTGGGAAGCAGTTTTGGCTCCGGAATTTTAAAAGAGGAGGATGTGGAAGCCTCAGAGTTGGGCTTCTTGGATCTCCCTTCCAAAAAGAGTGAGTTGGCTGGGTGTGGTGACTCAGCCTGTAATCCCAGAGCTCTGGGAGGTTGAGGTAGGTGGATTTCCTGAGCTCAGGAGTTCAAGACCAGCTTGAGCAAGAGCAAGACCCTGTCTCTAAAAATAAATAAATAAATAAATAGGCTTGGCATCCATGGCACAGTGGTTATGGCACCAGCCATATGCCCTGAGGGTGGTGGGTTCGAACCCAGCCCGGGCCAGCTAAACAACAATGACAACTGCAACAAAAAAATATCTGGTGCCTGTAGTCCCAGCTACTTGGGAGGCTGAGGCAAGAGACTTGTTTAAGCCCAAGGGGTGGAGGTTGCTATGAGCCATGGCACTCTACCTAGGGTAACAGAGTGAGACTCTGTATCAAAAAATAAAAAATAGCTGTCATTGTGGTGAATGTCTGTAGTCCCAGCTAGTAGGGAGGCTGAGGCAAGAGAATCATTTGAGCTCAAGAGTTTAAGGTTGCTGTGGCTATGACACTATGGCACTCAAACCCAGTGTGAATAAGACTCTCAAAAAAAGAAAAAAAGAGTGAATTGGCTGGCTCACGCCTGTAATCCTAGCACTCTGGGAGGCCCAGGCTAGAGGATCACTTGAGCTTAGGAGTTTGAGATAAGCCTGAGCAAAACCGAGACCTTCGTTTCTACTAAAAATAGAAAAAACTAGCTGGGCATGGTGGCACATGCCTATAGTCCCAGCTACTTGGGAGGCTGAGGCAAGAGGGTCACTTGAACCCAGGAGTTTGAGGTTGCTTTGCGCTACAATGATGTCATGGCACCCTACCCAGGGCAACAGAGTGAGACTCAGTCTCAAAACAAAAACAAAAAAGAGTGAGTTATGCAGTTCAGGGAGTAGCTGCTTCAGATACAGTGCCTTGGAGTCAAGGCCACATGCTTCCTGGGCATTCCCAAGCCAATGCTGAATGTGACGGGAGTACTGGGGCTTGGACACCTCAGCCCAATGTTTTGTTGCAGAACACCCTGTGGAGGTTGGTCTATCTTTGTCAGATCTTAGTGTCTTCTTGCCCAATCCTGTTTATTTCCCCTTTTTCTGTCACAGGCATCACCTCAAACTTTACCTCAACATTTGCTTCCTAGAAGACCCTGATCTGAAACAGAGGGCCTTGGGGCTGGATTTTTAAGTGACAACAAGAACTTGAAGCTGGCTCAGTGCCTGTAGCACAGTGGTTACGGCGCCAGCCATGTACACCCAGGCTGGTGGGTTCAAACCCAGCCCAAGCCAGCTAAAGAACAGTGACAACCACAACAACAAAAAATAGCCGGGTGTTGTGGCCAGCGCCTGTAGTCCCAGCTACTCGGGAGGCTGAGGCAAGAGAATCACTTAAGCTCAGGAGTTTGAGGTTGCTGTGAGTTGTGACGCCATGGGACTCTACCAAGGGCGACATAGTGAGACTCTGTCTCCAAAAAAAAAGAGCTTGAAACTGTTGATGAAGATCAACAATTAAGATAATATAAGATCCACAAATTACCATTACCCATCCCAAAGTGTGGAGAAGGACTGATCATAGGGTAATAAAAACCACCTCTATAATAATTAATTTATATAGTAGCTATATAGTGTCTTTCTATTCAGACGTTCAGTAAATGCTAGGTAAACTTCTGAGTGTGTGGGAACAGAGCCCCTCAGGAAACTGTTCCACATTGGATGTAACTTTCCTGTAGTTTTCCCTCTAATGTCTAATGCACAGTTTTGGAAAAGTCTCTAGGGAGGTTGGGCATGTGGGAAATTAAGAGATCCGTAACCACGAAAGTAGTGGATTTGGACTCCAAAGACTGGGCTGCAAGCTAATCTGCCATCGGTCCAGATGGACACACCAGGAAAGGTCCTTCAAAGGCTTTCAGTCTTGCGTCATACTGATTTGTGGTCCTCCTGAGAGATGACCTAGTAGGAGACAGACGGACAGGTGGACAAACCTGACTCTCCCAGAAAAAGGCATGTGATAACCGAGTGACTGATGAACGGACAGACACATGAGCGAATGTGTGGGGTTCTTTCAGCCAGAGGGTCAGGCAAGTGATTTTGAGAGGGACAGGAAAACTAATGGGCGTGGCTGAAAGCCTTGGAGCCATCCACTTGCCAGCTCAGCCGCGAGGGGGCGCCGCTGCCCAGCCCAGCGACGCCCACTGCCCCGGCCGGGCGCGCGCTCGCGGGCAGGCAGCGGGGGTGGGGCCAGCGTGGGCCCAGGGGCGGGGCCAGCACCCTCAGGGGTGGCCGGGGGTGGGGAGCGCGTGCACGCGGGGGGTCGGGGGCGGGGCGCGCAGCTGGCGCGGGTGCGCGCGGCGGCGGCACGTTCGGTTCCGGGCCGAGGCTGGCGGCGGAAAAGTTGCGGGGCTGAGAGGAGAGGCCCCAGGACAGGCAGCTAGCGCAAAGCGGAGCCGGCTCCCGGCGCCCGTGATCCGGCCATGGACGACCTCGGTGAGTGAGCGGGAGGCCGAGGGAGGAAGGGGCCAGGGGCGAGCGGCCTCGGCCGGGTGGGCGCTAGCGAATGGCGGGGGCAGCGAGATGCCACCCCCGGCGGTCCTGGCCTTGGTTGCAGTCCCTGCGGGCCGGGACTCTGCGGGATCATGATCCCGACCTGGGCCTGACTCCCGGGCCAGGCCAGCCCCGCCGCCGTCCTCATAGCAGCCACTCCCCGCCAGGGGACGTCTTCACCCCGGGACTCTCGACCTCAGGGACCCACTCCCACCCTCTAAAACAGCCCGAGGGACCAGCGCACCTCTCAGGGATCCACCCTGTCCGCTTCAGGGACGGGACCCCAGGTTCCTGGACCAGACAACCTCTCGTTCTATGGGACCCTTACTTCATAGACTCCCCTCCGCCATAGAGAGACCGCCTAGCTTGGGGAGCGGCTGCCTAATCTTATGGGCTGGTCGCTAATTGCAGGGACCTGCTTCTACCCCCTTCAGAGCCATCCCCCACTTCACAGACCGGCACCCCCACTTCTACGAGAGCCCCTCTGAGCCCCATCTTTCATTTTACAAGTCAGATTCACAAGCTAAGAGAAGAGCTTCGAACGACCACACCCCCATTTCAAAGACAAGTTTTCCTGTCTGTTTGCCCCAGTATCCCCTCACTTCCAGTCCGGCCACCCTGTTTTAAGGCTGGTCACTCCATTTTCGTGACTGCCTTCCCTGCTCTATGGACCAGTCCCCCTGGAGCTACAGACCAGTCCTTCTCCCTTCACACTTAAGCCTAGGAGGGTAACTTGGCGAGTCCTGATTCTACCCCCCTCCCCTAGACCCTGGTGAAATGCCAGGGGAATGAGGTGGGAAGTGGGCCCCAAGATATGTCATCCCTGAACTTGTCCTGGCTGGCAGGGTTCTCCCCCCACCCCACCCCCGCCCCCCAACATCAGGCTCTGCTGGAAGCTGCACAGGTAAGGAGGACAGGATGCCCAGAACAGAGTTTTACTGTTTTCCTGTTATTGGAGCTCCAAGGCTGCTCTTTTCAGTCCAGTCTTGATCCGGTGTTAGGGCCTGGAAAGAAAGTATCTCCTGGAGGCAGATTCCAAACCCAAGGGGGTTGGGTGATGTGAGTGCAGGAGTGGAAGGATTCACCCCACCGTCTTACTCCCCTTCAGGCCTATACCTGGAGGGCCTGGACTGGGGAGGTGAGGAGGGGGCAAAGTTTTCTTCTGTGTAGGAGCCTTGTGTTCCTTCTCTGGACTGTGGGTGGCTTGTGTGACCACTGGTGCTTCCTCTGTCCCAGGCTCTGAGGAGCAGATTCATCAGACAGGACCAATGGGCCTCTCAGGCACTGCAGGGCACTAAGTTAAGATTGGCTATTTGTAGCCACTGGACTTGACTGCTTCCCAGCAGCTTCCTTTTGGGATCAGGATGCCCCGGAAAGATCCTGGAGCTGGGGGTGATGTAGGGTCCTGGCTGTTTTGGAGAGTCCAAGGGCTGCCAAGCATAGTTCTGCCTTTGGGTCAGGCTTGGCACCCGATTTTCTGACACACTCAAGGTTGGCATAGTTTCCAGGCAGGTATTTTTTTCACATAAAAATAACTCAGCTGGAAGGAGACTGGAGGTTGTTCTTTGAATCAGGATCTGAAAGTCTCAGTGCTTTTCAGTGGGAACTGGGGAGCAGAGTTACAGTTTCTAAAATGCTGGTGCAGTTCTGTTGCTTCTCCACAGTCCCCATGCTGTTTGAAAGACTGAGCAAGTCTTTGTAAGAGTTTGCAGTTGACGTCCGGAATTCCTGTCTTCTGACAGTCTTCCATTTAGGGCTAGGAAACTGAGTTCTGAAAGGAAAGAGTACTCTACACTGGCAGAGGGGATTGTAGGAATTTAAATTTGCTATTTGTGGAGTATTTCACTTGATTTGTCCCATCCTCTCAACCATCCTTTTTAAGATCCACCTTAAGGTGCTGCTTTCACAACCATCTATCTACTTTTTCAAATTGAGAAAACTGAGGATGAGAGAGGCCAATTCTCTTGCCCAAGGCTGTGCAGCCATCAAATGAAAAAACCATAACTGGAAGCCCAGTCCCTACCTCCTAGATCTGTAGCTCTTGTGTATAGGGAAGCCTTTCTCCCTGGGGAGGGCATGGGCAGGCCCTTGAAAGAGGAGTTGCCACTGCCACTGGGTGGTGACTGCCACCTGTAATTTCTGCTGCCTTCCATAGTAGGCTCCTAGTTACTGGGATCTGCACTGCCAAACTTCCTTGGCCTCAGCTCCCAGGGGGCCCGCCACGCCTGGTTGACTACAGCCGGGGGTGGGAGGAGTGGGGTGTGAAGGAGGGGAGAGGAATTTGCCTCTGCTCTGGGGCCCCGTCAGCTGTCTGGACGGCTGCTCAGCACACTGTGGGTCAGCTGTTTTCCTTAGTTAGAGTGGACACAAAGGCCAGGCATCTTGTTTTTATTTTTTTCCTGAGAGTACTCTGAGCCCTGTGAGCCTCCTGGTCCCTAACACAGGAGAGTTTGTGGTCTGTCCTGTGACAAGGCCAGAGAAAGCAGAGCCTCTTCCTCTGTGACTTTATTTTTTGGTGTAGAAAAAAAAAGGGGGATGATCTTTTCTCCTCCCCATAGCTGCAATGGCAGACTCACCATGTGCTGTTTAATAGGTTACAAATTTATAGCTTTGGGGGCTGAAAAACATAAACACAACAGGTTCTGCCCTTCTCTGTGTGTTCTGTCTACTCTGTGCTGTGGAGTGGCTGCTTGGTGGCTTTTCTCATTACTGTTTAGATGCTGGCTGGTTTGGCCCGGAGTTCACTCTATTTGAGTTCTGGCTGGAGTTTCCTGGACAGAGTTCCCACAACACTGAGATGCACTCTGGCTGTGTTTTCTAACAGGATTCCTTGCTCTCTCCTTGTTCATGTTCCTAGTGTGTGTGTGTGTGTGTGTCCTAAAAATGACCGTGCATGCTTGATGAGAGACAGGCACTATACTCAGCACTTTCCGAGTATTATCACAACCATTTTGAGAGGGAGGTGTTTTATCTCTGCTTTGCAGATGTGGAAACCTGAGCTCAGGGAGGTTTAGTGGTGGAACTGGGATTGAACCTAGACTGATCCAATTCCAGATCTGGTCATCTGAATCACAATAAGGTTGTAGGTGCTGGTGACTAACCAGGGGATGAGCTATGGGCACTGCTGAGTAATTGATAGTTACTTTAAAAATTTCTGCCCTATGGGCCATTCCCAGGAAATGGCAAAGGGTGGGTCCAGTGTAGGACTTGGTAGCTTTGCCTTCCCATCCTCTAGCAGGGGGGACAGTCAGCTGTTGGCAGTGCCCAGTTGCTGCTGGAATCTGGATATGTCTTCTTTCAGCTTCTTAGCAGTCTTGACCCTTGGGAAAACAGTGCCTCATTGTCCTTGGGGGTAGTACTAGGGGGCAGGGGAGTTGCCTAGGGCATTCCAGGCTACGGAGCCTCCCTGTTTCCATGGAAGGTCTGGACTTTGGGCTTGCTTGCCTGTGGTGCCTCTGTGTTTTAGGGCAGAGTCAGGGCACCCAGCTTCTGATCTGTGGCAGAGGCAGCATTTGCCCATGAGGTGATAGTACTCTCCTGGGGAGCTCTATGTCAGCACCAGACCTAGTAAGGGGCAGGGCAAACTTTAGTATGTTTATTCTTAAGCAGGTGCCTTTTCCAGTATGCTGAGCTGTCTGCTGCCTGGATGGCCACAGCTTAGTGTGGAAAGGCTCAGTGCTGGGGGCTAGATTCCTGTCACTGTGGGTTCAAGGTCTTTTGAGGGATATCTATTTTCCTTTTTTCCAGCTTCCCTTGTAGTGGCCATGCATTGGAGAGGCTGGGTGGGCCCTTGGCTGGAGAGGCCAGTAGAAAGCCAGAGTTACTGCTGAGGCTCTGAGCATCTCTCTTCCACCAGTTAGTCATCATGCATGGAATGTCTGACCCTCTGAAGCTTCTTTTGGGCCTTCACCTTATTTCAAGGCCGATGTTGAAAAAACTTACAGTTTCATTCCAGCCTTTTCCTGGGTGGTCCTGGTTTCACTTCTTTCATTAACAATAAAAAACATCTGTAGAGACTTGGCGCCTGTAGTTCAGTGGTTAGGGCGCTGACCACATGCACCAGGGCTGGTGGGTTTGAACCCCGCCTGGGCCTGCTAAACAACAACAAAATAGCTGGGCATTGTGGTGGGCACCTATAGTCCCAGCTACTTAGGAGGCTGAGGCAAGAGAATTGCTGAAGCCCAAGAGCTGGAGGTTGCTGTGAGCTGTGTTACCACAATACTCTACCAAGGGTGACATAGACTGTCCCAAACAACAACAAAAAGAAACATCTGGGTGGGGCCTGTGGCTCAGTCAGTAGGTCTCCGGCCCCGTATACCAAGGGTGGCGCGTTTGAACCTGGCCCCCGCCAAAACTGCAACAAAAAATAGCTGGGTGTTGTGGTGGGTGCCTATAGTCCCAGCTATTCGGGAGGCTGAGGCAAGAGAATCGCCTAAGCCCAGGAGTTGGAGGTTGCTGTGAGCTATGATGAGACAGCACTCTATTGAGGGTGACAAAGTAAGACTCTGTCTCAAAAAAAAAAAAAAGAAAAAACATCTGTAGAATACTTTTCTTTTTTACAGTGTATACAGGACTCTTTCCCATAATATGTGTTGAGCACTTATTATGTGCCCGCCCTGTGCTGGGCACCTTACATGTGTTATTTCATTCAATTATGTTGGCCATTGAGATGGGTTCTGCTGATGTTATTATCAGTAGTAGGAGCATTCCCACTGTTCCTTTTATAGATGAGGAAACTGAGGCACAGAGAGAATACACCCACTTGTTCTAGTTCTACAGTTGTTCAGTGGCAGGGCTGGGTTTGAATCCATATAGTCTGACTGTAGAGTGGGACTTGTAGTAACCAACCATTCTTTATACTTCTGTTTATGATACTGGATCTCATCTCATGTATATACTTTTTAATTCTTTTTTTCTTTTTCCTGAGACAGAGTCTCACTATG